CACACATGGCACATGATTTCAGCAATGGTCAAAGTATCATACTGTGTCAGACAAAGAGGTAAGCAGCTGATGACATGCTCTTGGCAAAACAAGTTACTGGTACCTCACAAAGTTGGATGTAAAATGCATGGAAACTAACTGGAAATAAAATCTAAGGGGATGCAGAAGCAAAAAGCTCAACTGTTGTCAAGACATTGATTTTTAACACGAGAGATAATTGGGTTTGGTAAATTTAAAGCTGGGCCTGATTAAAAATTATATCACGGATAAAATTATATCATCAAAATCCAGACGGCCCTTTAATGAACAATACAACATTCATGCAAATTAATTTGTAATTTAGCAAATTTTTATACTGCTGAGACTGGACAGTACTGAAGAGGCTTTGACTGATGTAAAAGAAGGCAAAAGGAGTCAGTTCAAGACAAAAGGAAACGGGAATGCCTCATTTGGTGTGTACTAATGTTGATGGCAGCCCAAAAAGTGAAGAGTATAAATAGTCAGAAAGGCAACCAAATCTCTAAGTTTTTTAATGTACTAAACAGGTTAACTGTAAATTACTACAGCTCTAGCACTGCACAGGAATGAGATTTTTGTCCCCACTGGTTCTATAATAAAGTTGTTTAGAGCTTATCAAGTAAAAAGTATCAAAGCTTATTTCTTGTAGGACAATGCCCTTGCACAGCTATGCAATAATTCTCCAAACAAGTAGTGGTAATACAAATTAAATCCATTTTACCACCTAACCTATTATCTAGCCTATGGGCCAAGTTGAAATACAGCAGGGTACTGTACATACAATCAAATACTTTATAAAAGAGAAATGTCAAGTCAAGTTTTAGCAGCGATCAAGTTTCAAGTGAAATGCAGGGAGGGAAAAGATAAACACAAGGAAGAGGCTCGAGAATATAGTACTACAAAAGCATCAAGTATTACGTTGGAAAAATCTAAAGCATTATTTCATTCATGGAAATTTTTAAGTTTGTGGATCATTCACTTCGGAATAGCAGGTGCGAACAACAGTAGAGTGAGAGGTGGTGCCGAGGGGAGGACACTGGCATCAAGTTTAGTTGAAGAGGGAAAAAGATAAGAGGGATCACAAATTATCTAGCAAATAGATGCATTTATAATCAGAAGGACAGTTAAGCAAAGACGATTTCTGTGGCAATGAAGATAATGCAGCAACACAGTGTGATTGAAGACTACCTTACAGAGGTACAAAGAATGTACAAGACTAAATAATGAGCGCACACCGGTTGTTTCCCACCAAAGAGGGGTGACCCAAAAAGAAAGAAAAACTGTATATAGTATGTTTAGTTTGATAGAAATAAAATACTTCATTTATACATTTCACCAGAAAGGAGTTACTATGGCACTCATCTTGACTGAGCCAAGGCAGGTGAACAATTTAGGTAGTTTTATGTTATGTAGTACATTATATTTATCACATTTATTCCTTCTTTACGAATGTTTTCAATATGAATGCTTGATGTACATGTGGTGAATTCAAATATCTGGTTGTACAAGTTACAGGAAATGTGGGAATTTGAGTTCTTTGCAAATCTGTAATTTGAATTATTGTATATGGTTATTTTTTTTAGTTGTTAACTTTCACTAGCCTTGATCTTTAATAGAAGTTCACTTGGTTCAAAGCATGGTGACCACTCTGCCACTGATAACTAAGCATCCATAATATTCTTAAAATCCAAAACATTAGGAATTAGAGTTCTGGTATATTTAAATTGAAGTGTTATTTGAGAGTTGGCTATTGTACCATAAAAAAAGCTTATTACCTTAAGCTTTTTGCAAGACTGCCAGAAAAACATGCTGCTTAAGTATGTCAATCATGGTAGTCATTTTTGATAACATGCCAAATGTATGTATACTTGTCCAGTAGTTGATAAAGACACACAAGGAGTGGTAGAAATGTTGCTTGTGTTTTTCAACTACAACTTACTGGTATTCCCATCCCATATACTATTACAATCACTCATAGGAGAGAGAAAAAAAAAAAAAAAAAAAAAAAAAAAGTGATAAAAGTAGTATCCTCCTATTGCATTATTTTAATGTATTCAATCAATCTGACAGCTCACCTTTCTGTTGTTGCATTGTGACCTGCTGCAACTCGGTGATTTATGTTGGGTTATTTTCATTTGCTATATCATGGTAAGTTTTGAACTTAGGCATTTTTTCTCCCACTTACCATTAATTTCTGTGCTGTTCATGCATTATTTCTACAAAAGTCTTTCCAGTAAACTGTAAACTGTGTATTTGAGCAAAAATATTTTCACTGAACAATTGATGCATCTACATTTATTAGAAGACTAAAATTTGTTCTATTATAAAGATGCCCTCTATGTTCAAATAAACTTAGGATTTTACCTCCCCAGTAAATCATGCTGATTTATGGGTAAATCATGCTGATTTATGGGTAAATCATGCTGATTTACTGATTACCACCTCTCATTTCTGTACCTTTTCGGAGTGTTTCACTTCCTGAGGTCAAATATTTAAGCTTGTCAATATGATTTTAACATTTCATAATTGTAGAAAATGCTTGAAGGTTTTCTTACCATTGTGACAGTAACACTGTAAATAATGCAAAGTATTAACAACAGAGGCATAATAATCTATTACAATATGTATATATTTAAAGCAACTCTGAGTACATCTTTGAGATCAATGCCACCCACAACTGAAGAAATACAAGTTGTTTTATTATTGATGAGATTTATGGGTAAATGTTTAGTTGCTTTCTTATATATGTGAATCAGGTTGCTAACATGCCATATTGGAAACTGTGCATGACGAGGGCAGTTAATGACACTGCATTCTTGAATGTATTTGAATCCTAGGTTACAATAGCAAGAATTGCTAGTTCTTTCACTATTCAACCATAGTTCTGTACTTGTATATCTCTTGTTATCAAGACCCGAGAAATTATTCTTGCTTTTTCTCATTGTACTTTATACAAGATGTTTGATCTCATCTGTATTTTCAAAAGCAACTCTATGACAAGAGGAATCCTTTAATACATTTCAGACAATTTAGTTATATCTGTTTCTGGTACCTGTATGAACTTTAAAATTGTGTGTTCGTTTGTTTTCTAACGACATTTCTAAACGTGGACTGTGACAAGATGATGTATACAAGTCTCTGTACTCTCACATGGGCACAATATGCAAGATCTTTCAAGTGTTCGGTCACATTTTCCAATAAAGGACTCGAGTCCTTGAGGAGGAAAGTACAATGTCTGCACTCTAAAGGAGGGGTTTGGGATATTTGCTGTTTAGAAGGACATCTAAACTGTCATATCTATGTGCCTCTGGCAAGTGATAGTGTGAATGATGATGAAAGTGTTTCACTTTCAGGTCACCATGCCTTGGTGGGGGACAGCCAACTGGTTGAAAATAAAAACAATTATTTCAACACTCAAGCGTCAGGTTCAATTTTTTTAATTAAGATTTGCCTCATGCCACTGATTGTAGCTATCATTAGTTGTTAAAATATCTGTACTACATAACTATTTTATCTTTTTTATTATTTTTTTTATTATTATTATCACACTGGCCGATTTCCAAGGCAGGGTGGCCCGAAAAAGAAAAACTTTCACCATCATTCACTCCATCACTGTCTTGCCAGAAGGGTGCTTTACACTACAGTTTTTAAACTGCAACATTAACACCCCTCCTTCAGATAGTAGGTTGGTAGACAGCAACCACCCAGGGAAGTACTACCGTCCTGCCAGATGACTGTGAAACAGAAACCTGAAACTGTTTTGCATGATGGTAGGATTGCTGGTTTCTTTTTCTGTCTCATAAACACGCTAGATAACAGGGATATCTTGCTACTCCTACTTACACTTTGGTCACACTTCACAGACACGCATATGCATATATATATACATACATCTAGGTTTTTCCCCTTTTTCTAAATAGCTCTTGTTCTTCTTTATTTCTTCTATTGTCCATGGGGAAGTGGAAAAGAATCTTTCCTCCGTAAGCCATGCGTGTCGTATGAGGCGACTAAAATGCCGGGAGCAATGGGCTAGTAACCCCTTCTCCTGTAAACATTTACTAAAAAAAAGAGAAGAAAAAAACTTTTTTATTAATCTGTATGAAATTGCCTGCATAGCTTATCTTAGTAGTGATACTTAGTTAAAAGTCAAAATTCAGTTCAAATGTTTGTAGCTTGCCAGTACCATGGAGTGTGTCAGATGTAAATTTAGAAGCTCTTTTGTCATTTTTACCCATTAAAAAAGATCTAGTGTAACACATACATCAACATCATATTGATGAACTGACGATGTAGACTGATGCCAGACTCAAGGCCACCTGACAGTCATAACTTATGAGTTTTTCTTACAAGTCAACCCCCCCCCAATACACCTGGGGTTTAGTTATTACTATATTCACATGAAGCACTAAACTTATATGGATCATTCAGTATTAAATAGTAAAGCTGCTGCTGTGTGAAAGCCAAAAATGGGGGAAAAAAAAAGTAGCAAAGAAAAATCAGAGAAGTCAGTAAGTGAATCTGCATTAAGGATTAGATTCTGGGAAATGGGGCAGGAAATGAAGGAGAGGATGAAAATAAAATTGTCATGCTCTCTGATAAACAGTGACTTGACAAAAGGCTTTTCTCAATCCTCTGAATATTCCATTGTAAGTAGTTCATTTGATTTTCAAATTGGCCTGAAAGCATAATCATGTAATGTTTTTTTTAAAATTACTTTACCTTTCTTTCCGGTACAACTTAATACATGCATATTTATGTGGTAAAAGAAATTATTTATATATACTCCAAGTGATTTTTACTTTTAACATCGCCCAACATTGTATAGATACAAAAAATTTATAAGAGACGATCACTGCCTTCAATACAATATTTGCAGTAAGCGCTGGTAACAAATGCTTAAAAAAATATTAATTACAATATTTGTAATCTAAAAACAGCATTCCAACAGCTTGCCGCCTCTAGGAAATAAATGAGAATAAAAAGACGGATTCAAAACTTTATCAAAATTGCTAAAACTGCACCAACACAATATAAATATGAAGGAGAAAAAAAAATAAATGAAATAATTTACATCACAGTCAGAGTTGCTTGTAGTTAAGAGTACATGTAATCTCCCTCAATCTCCTCTCAAATTTTAAGATAATGGCAGTTAGAATTAACCAAGTTGAACTGTGGTAGCCTCTTTGTAGTGAAGACCCCCTGCCACTACTGAAGAAAATGCTTCCAAGAGGCATTATTTGAGAAAAGTTTTTTCATTAAAAAACTGTAGCATCGTATACATCCCTCTTTAATACAAATCTATACAATTTTTATGTACAAGACATTATGCTGCTTTTAAATAATGCTAAGAAGGTTAAAAAATATAACTATTTACAAATAAATATGAAAATTAAAACCTTGCGACGAGTTGATAAGCCAATTCATGCACAAAATAAAAAAATGCTCCTATTAAAAGAACTACAGTATACTAATATATTATCTGGAATTTAGCTTATTCTGTATATACACTGGGTACATCACCCACCTACATTTTTCATAAACTACACATGACTAACACTTTGAATAAAAATTTGGAATTTTGTTTATTCAAAGATTAAAATGTCCCACTCTCACAATATGCAGCAACTACTTTTCATTCAGAAGAATTTGCAATATAGCAAAACTGCTTCCTATAAATCCTATATGCACTTTTGTAGTGACCATGTTTGTGCAATGACTTAATTTCTTTATACAAACTCAATGCATCAAAGTGTGCGCTGTAGTCTGGCATCTCTAAAAAAAAAAAATTATAAATTCATTTTGCATATACATTTACAAGTTTTAACCTCGAGCTCTTGTCAGTAGAGAAAATCACTATGATGTTAGGTTTTTCTGGCATTATACATTTGGGCAATACCTGGTGATATATGATATTGAAATTTCAGGTTTGAAAAAAGTGCTGTAATTACAGAAATCACGTATACTGTATTTGCAAAATAATATTTACAGCATTACCATACCATATTAAAAACTAGGAAAGTCATTTTGTAATTATAAACAAATGTTCATGCTGTATATCATGAACAGTACTTAAATGGACCATATCAGCTGCCAAAATAAAAAAAATTGGTACTAATAATAGTTTTAACTAACAAACTGGCAGTTTGTATAGTTAAGAGGATAAAAAAAAAATACATGCAGGCAATTTTGGCCAATGTTGCTGGGCTGGGTTTGTGGGGATGGTGCAAGCCTTGCAGTATTCCAGGTCATTAGGAATAAAGGAAAAAAAGCCCTAGTGTTTACGTAGAAGAAATTATATTAATGTCGATAGCATAGAATACGAGTGGATTTTAACCCTTAAACGGTCCAAACGTATATATATGGTCACTCGTGTAGTGCCCCCAAATTTTTTGAGGAAAAAAGAAATCTTTTCTTTTAAAAGGAAAAAAGAGCATATGGTACCCAGGCATCCCCAGTTATTTTAATATGGAACACAGTGAGTGCACACACCCATTCTCTCATGTCTAGGTGACTCAGGCTTATTTTGGCAATGTTGAATGAATGACAAAGAAAACGTATATATACGTTTGGGGCGCTACGCGCGTGAACGTATATATACGTTTGGACCGTTTAAGGGTTAACGATTAAATGCTAAACGCAATGAAAAGGTAAATAAAATATATTTGTTTCATAAAGCTATAAGGAGGGAATGCAGGCAAACTTGAGAACTTGCAAAGCACTGGAAGCAAAATGTTATTCAGCGAACTAATGATGCCATCAGAACGTTGTTAAACAAGTGATGAAACTGTAAGGATCCCACAGAGGAACATTAGTAAATGAATAGACTTGTGAAATGAATAACGAGGCTCACTGTAATTATGGTGAAGTTTCTAAAATTTATAGAATTAGCTTCAAACGGCTAATAAGTGTGAAGTGACAAAATGTGTAATCCGTAATATATGTGAACTAACACTCGTTACAGAAAGTAAAAAATTTTAAAGATCAACAGTTTGAGTAGTTATTGCACTGGCCTAGCAGGTTTCAGAGTTTGATTCTCAATGAGGGTCAAGTATTATGTATTTATTTGGTTTAAACTAATTTCCAAAGTATAATCACATCCCCAGTGGGTTACAAAAACCCATCTGGCACACACATTTTCAGCCACACAAGGGAGCTATAGCTTGCTATTCCATACAAAATGTGGTTAGTGATACAAATCAGTGAATGGGTTGACTACAGCTATACCTTGTTATTCAATGCAGTAATTCCCTAGGTAAGAAAATGGGTAGATTAAAAAATACTATTTTAGTCTGTCAATATTGTGTTAGTACCTAAATAAAGATAAAAGAAAATTCTTCAAAGTGAGCATTTTACCATAATGAACAGCTAAGGAATTACAACATAGTATGCTACTATAATAATGAGGCATTCACAGACACCAAGTGTTTTAAAAAGCACTGATCAACACAAATTATAATTATTTATACAATAACTGTAATGAGAGCTCTTATATGTGGATGGTATGAGCATTTAGTAATGTTCCTCAGCATTAATGAGGTCTGTCAGAACTGTCACAACAATTACTGTAAGTGTGTTTCATTATACAGCTCGGTTATCTTACACCTCATCTTGTGGTGAATTAAATTTCACCTAGAAATCTGACTAAAAATTACCTCATAGATTTAAAGGGGTTATATAATGCCCTCTTAATAATAAAATCATAGAAAAGCTTTGAGAATTATTGTACAGTACCTGTATATTACTAGAAAACAGTCTGCTCATCTCAATTACATTATGAGACAATCTTAACTAAAAGTCATCAGATCAGAAAGTAATAAATGAGGAATGATACCATCAACGTAATTTAAAATAAAATTCCGAGCTGGCATTACACTAAATTATTATTATTTTAGCTGGAAAACTTGAGTAATCTTTAATTTAGTTAAGCTAAGCTTTTAAAAGCAGCTTTGAGATTATAATCAGGGCATGCCAATGGTAAAATATACCATAAAAGAAAATAAAGGTGACAAAATAAAAGCCCGCAATATGGCTATTGGCGATGAAGCCTCGCACACCAATGGCACATCACACGTCTACAGTGCAGGGCTTACAGGAAGTAAACAGAAAAAAGTAATATTTTCAGAGGACGTTAGAATGAATATTTTCCGAGTGTTAACATATTGAGAGCAATGAAGTTGAAGGCGATATAGATGCAATTTAAGCTAAGGCATGATTAGTAAAAAAAAACAGCGACCAAAACAGCAAGGGTGCATAAACCAAAATGTACAAATTATATACCAGTACTGGAGCAACAGACTGAGGGAGAAATTAGAGTAAAGATATAGAGTGGCATTAGAAAGCATGGAGTTTTCTGGAATGTATGGAATATTTGGCAGAGATTATGCAAGAACCATCCTATTTTTAGTACAGAAAATAGCAAATAAACAGATGCATACAGAATGTTAATTAAAGCAAACCAAAAGCACACATTGACCGCTTCATCTCAAATTTCATGAAGCATATTTACGAGCAACATTTGTTAAGCCTTAAGAATTAAGATTTATGACCTAATTCTTGCAAGACACTTTAATACACATTTGGAAATTGTCACAAAGTTTTACTCCATTTTCATTTAGCATGAAAAGTTCAGCACATGGTATTCACTAAAATAAAGTCCTTGTTGATACACTATAACATCATGGCATGAGGTCAATGTCTGGCAATCCACAATAATAATAATAATAATAATAAGAATAATAATATAATCAAATTATGCGCTAAACCCGAAAGGGTCCTGGCATTTCGCAACATGGCTGACAGTTCCATCTTTTAGTTAACACAAAGGACTGGATGTAATGCAAAAAAACAGCTGGCTAATTCATTATGTTGCAACCCCTAAGCTAATCCTAATCAATGAGGATGACAATAACATAGGTGGGATACATGATTACTGTGACTTTTAAGTAAACACCTCTTTTGGTGAATTATTTTGATACAATGATAATTTCTAAATTATCTAGAAGTAAACTTATTAGAGCTTGTACTTTGCGTCAGGATTCATAAAACCTTCCAAATCAAAATTATCACCCTCCTCCTCCTCTTCCTCATCATCAGCTGCTTCATTTCCACTGTCTATTCGTTCAAAGATATTTCCATCCTCATCCCTGATATTGTCTATTTCATACCCATCATCACTGTATGGTTCAAGGAAGTGCACGGCTACATGTCGTACAATTCAGAATATTAGTAAATTTTAGACTACATTCACTGCACTCATAGGTACCTTTAACTGATAAGTTTTCAGAGGATGAAG